GTGGGTAGGTGCATGGAATTGCTTGTATTGTAATCTTAGCTATTTATTATTTGTGCTTTTTATTGTGGCTTCTTTCCTTCTATAGAGTCTGATTTTGTTAATGTTAGATGGACCAAAGTGACAGTATCAGGTCCATCTGGAACTGGGAAATCCTCAACTCTAAAATTGCTCCTCGATGAAGAAGCGGAGGAAAAAAACCATAGCACGCCAGTAGTCAGAAACATTGAAACGAAAATCATTTTACCAGAAGATAGTGGCAAAAAATGGAGGAAGATTCCAAGCATGGACGAAGCTCTAGAGCAAAGCAAGAAACAAGACAATGTTCATTTTATATATGCAGTTGATACAGGAGGGCAGGCTGCCTTTCTTGATATTGCTCCAGCTCTTTTACGCTATAATTCAGTCAACATTGTCACTCACAAGCTCGACGAGGCCCTTGAAGATGAGACTGCCTTTTATTACAACATAAATGACAAGCAATATGGCGCATCAATAAGAAGAGGACTCACAAACGAGCAAGTACTGGAATGTTCAATTCGATCTTTGGCCTCGATAAATCCACCTGAACCTTTTGAAGGTATTGAAGTGCTGCATCCAAAAGAACTTGAAGATACAGATGGAGAAAATAAGCCTTGTTTCATTGTCATTGGGACATTCAAGGATAAGGTCACAGATCCAAGGTCACTGCTAAAATCAAAAAACGAAAAGCTCAAGAAAGTACTCTTAGGATTCAGCAATAATGCCCATATTCTCCAATACAAAAATGATGCCCTAATTTTTCCAGTTAATACCCTTGGTCGAAGCTCCCAAGAGCAAGAAATAGCCGATGATATTCGACATAAAATCTGTGAATCATACATGGAAGCAAGGATACCCAGAAAGTGGTTTTTATTTCAGTTAAAGCTTAATGAGGAAAGCAAAATGAAGGGAGGCATATTGAAAAAATCAGTATGTGATGCGATTGGAGCTAAGCTTTCTCTGACTCCACGTGATGTCAATTCAGCCTTAAAGTTTTTTCATCACCTTACTGCCCTTCTTTATTTTCCTGATATCATCGGTGATACCGTATTTCTCGATTCTCAGCCTCTTTTCGAAAAGCTTTCCAAGTTGATTGCTGTTTCTTTTGCTGTAGATGCAGACTATTATGAGGCCCTGGGGATTGATTTTAAAAATAAAATGGCCCACGACAACATGAAGAATAAAGGGATTTTCGACAACTCCCTACTCAAAGACATTAGCTTTCAGTTTATGGAGTTCAATTACGAAAGCTTCCTGAAGCTATTGGAAAGTTTGCAGGTCATCATACAGCTACCTGAAACACAGACAGAAACATATTTTCTTCCTTGTGTCCTTGCTACAGCTAATTCTTTTAAGTTAGAGGAGCTAAAACAAGAATTCTCCAAAAAAACAGACCCTTTTGTGTTAAAGTGGAAGGAGAGGGTCATCCCTCAAGGCCTCTATTGTGGATTGGTCCTTCGCTTACTCCAGGAGGAGGCAATTGGCAGTGAATGCTTCATTGACGTCAAATAGCAATTTAGAAATGCCATCACTCTCCCTTGCAAGTCAAAATTTGGTGGCTCCCTTTTATTAGTTGATGCTACTTCTCATCTTGAGGTCTATTTTTCTGGCAAGGTTGAGAACTGCCCTAATATTCGTAACATCATCTTTAAACAGGTGATTGAGGCTGCGAAAGCGTTTCATTATGACCTCAGTTCATCTCGTCCTGATATCTGTTTCATTGATAGTAGTAAGAAGATAGTACCACTTGCCCATTGCCCTATACACAGCAAGGCATGGTTAAAAAGTAAGCAATTCATTTATACCTTACTTTTAGAATGTAATTTGTTATGATAGAGGACGAAAACCCTGCTCCAATTACTGTTGAGGATGAAGAGATAATACCAAGTAAGTGTGATTATTTTATAGCATCATAAGCATGCCATCAATTGCATGTACAGTGAATTGGCATTAATTTTATTGCATGCATTTTCAGAACATCTCCATTGATTTTGCATGCTTCCATTTGTCAGAATGTTTGTAGCCTTTTTCTTGGTTTCTTACAAAGCATGCTTTATGATGAGCTGACAAACATTATGGTGCAAATAATAAAATTCATAAAAATCAAATTTGATTGTTATTAGCTCAAACTTTCTACACAACATAATAAAATATATATATTTATTTTTTAAATTATAAAAATGGAGAAATCTCTTGCTTTAAATTTTAGCTAAATTTGGCATGTACTACAGTGCAGGAACTTTTACCCAAAATTTTAAAGCAAAATTTAAGAATAAATTAAAAATCTAAATTTGATTCAAATCAACTTAAAGACATGCATACACATGTATGTATCAAAAAATTAAAATAGAGAACTCTCTTGTAGGCATTTTTGATGAATTCTAAGAATGAGAACTCTTTTTGCCATGTTTTGACAAACTATACCATTGCAGGATATATTTTGTCATATTTTTGAGCAACTTTAAAATTCTACTGACAGGAGGCTGAGGACTATTCCAAACCCTGTGGAAAACTATGACCTTTTTAAAAAATTTTAGCAAAAATTTGTTTAATAGGAACTAGGCTAAAAAGCTGCTAAATTTATTGGTTGTGAGTAACTGATTACAAACATCTATGAGACTATGTTCATAAGGGCCTACAGCTATGGCTATTCATTTTTACCAAATAAGGGACTTATGTGTACCCATTATAGTAGAACTAACAATGTGAGTAATTATAATTATGAAAAATTTAAATACCAGTCACACCTACACGTCCCTTACAAAACAGGTCACTGCTCATAGACAATTTCAATTCAATTGGTTTAATGCCATTTCTTTGCAGGTGTTACTGAGGCTACTAGGTTTTTGGATCAGCTCCCATTTAAAGTACACAGACATTATGAGAGTCTTGCATTTG